GTTGATGTAGCTTATTAATAAAGCAAGGCACTGAAAATGCCTAGATGAGTCGTATGACTCATAAACATATAGGTTTGGTCCCAGCCCTTCTATTGGCTACTAGCAAAACTACACATGCAGTATCCGCCTTCCAGTGAGATGCCCATAAATCACCATGTGATAAAAGGAGCAGGTATCAAGCACACTATCCAAGTAGCTCATAACGCCTTGCTCAACCACACCCCCACGGGAAACAGCAGTGATAAAAATTAAGCAATAAACGAAAGTTTGACTAAGTTATGCTTACTAAGGGTTGGTAAATTTCGTGGCAGGGACGGCGGTCATCGATTAACCCTAGTCAATAGATTCACGGCGTAAAACGTGTTTAAGGAACACTTTTATAAAGTCAAACTCTAGCTACGCTGTAAAAAGCTATAGCTACTGTAAGCCCTAACGCGAAAGTAACTTTAAAACACCTGAATACACGACAGCTAAGGCCCAAACTGGGATTAGATACCCCACTATGCTTAGCCCTAAACCTAAAGAGTCCTCCTAACAAGACTCTTCGCCAAGAGTACTACTAGCCAAAGCTTAAAACTCAAGGGACTTGGCGGTGCTTCATATCCCTCTAGAGGAGCCTGTTCTATAATCGATAAACCCCGATCAACCTCACCAACCCTTGTCAACTCAGCCTATATACCGCCATCTTCAGCAAACCTTAAAAAAGAACTGTAGTAAGCTCAATCACAATACGCGAAAACGTTAGGTCAAGGTGTAGCCTATGGGTTGGAAAGAAATGGGCTACATTTCCTATTACTAGGATATTACCCTCTTTATACGAAAGTCCCCATGAAATTAAGGACTAAAGGTGGATTTAGCAGTAAATTAAGAATAGAGTGCTTAGTTGAATAAGGCCATGAAGCACGCACACACCGCCCGTCACCCTCCTCAAATATATGATGGTACTAATTAACCCTATTACCACTTACCTTAACTATTAGAGGAGATAAGTCGTAACAAGGTAAGCGTACTGGAAAGTGCGCTTGGATAACCCAAAGCATAGCTTAATCATAAAGCATCTAGCTTACACCTAGAAGATTTCATATAAATATGACTGCTTTGAGCCGTACTTAGCCCAAATAAATAAAACACAACTATAAATTTAACTTAAACTAAAACATTCACTACACATAATAGTATAGGAGATAGAAATTTTTCACAGGCGCTATAGAGAAAGTACCGCAAGGGAATAATGAAAGAATATACCAAAGCAATAAACAGCAAAGCTTACCCCTTGTACCTTTTGCATAATGATTTAACTAGACATAACTTAGCAAAGAGAACTTAAGTTAATACCCCCGAAACCAGACGAGCTACTTATAAGCAGCTTCATAGAGCAAACTCATCTATGTGGCAAAATAGTGAGAAGACTTATAAGTAGAGGTGAAAAGCCCTATCGAGCCTGGTGATAGCTGGTTGTCCAATAAAGAATTTTAGTTCAAACTTAAATCTGCCTATAAAAATATTAATTTTACTGCAGATTTAAGATATAGTCTAAAGGGGGACAGCCCTTTAGATACAGGTTAAAACCTTGACTAGAGAGTAAGTATATAGACATACCATAGTGGGCCTAAAAGCAGCCATCAATAAAGAAAGCGTTCAAGCTCAACAACATAATTATCTAAATCCCTATAATCAATATCAACCCCTAGCATTAAAATTGGACTACTCTATATTCATATAGAAGAACTACTGTTAATATTAGTAACAAGAATTTAATTCTCCTAGCACAAGTGTATATCAGACGAATAATCACTGATAATTAACGAATATAAAGCAAATCTACCAACAGTCTTTATTTACTTACGTTAATCCAACACAGGAGTGCTTCAAGGAAAGATTAAAAGGAGTAAAAGGAACTCGGCAAACATAAACCCCGCCTGTTTACCAAAAACATCACCTCTAGCATAACCAGTATTAGAGCACTGCCTGCCCAGTGACATAAGTTCAACGGCCGCGGTATCCTGACCGTGCAAAGGTAGCATAATCACTTGTTCTCTAAATAAGGACTTGTATGAATGGCCACACGAGGGTTTTACTGTCTCTTTCTCCCAATCAGTGAAATTGCCTTTCCCGTGAAGAGGCGGGAATATACTAATAAGACGAGAAGACCCTATGGAGCTTTAATTAATTAGTCTAAGAGCAAAACAATACACACCAAAAGGAATAAAATAACACTACTACTAGGCTAACAATTTAGGTTGGGGTGACCTCGGAGTATAAAAAATCCTCCGAGCAATTTAACTTAGACTTACCAGTCAAAGTATAATTACTTAATTGATCCATATTACAATGATCAACGGAACAAGTTACCCTAGGGATAACAGCGCAATCCTATTCAAGAGTTCCTATCGACAATAGGGTTTACGACCTCGATGTTGGATCAGGACATCCTGATGGTGCAGGCAGCTATCAATGGTTCGTTTGTTCAACGATCAAAGTCCTACGTGATCTGAGTTCAGACCGGAGTAATCCAGGTCGGTTTCTATCTATTTTATGTTTCTCCCAGTACGAAAGGACAAGAGAAACAGGGCCCCCTTAAAATAAGTGCCCTCTTACAAACCAGATGATCTAATCTCAATCTGTTATGCAATAAAAAATACTGCCCAAGACCAGGGCTCAGTTAAAGTGGCAGAGACCGGTAATTGCGTAAAACTTAAACCTTTATTCCCAGAGGTTCAAGTCCTCTCTTTAACAAAATGTACTTAATAAATCTTCTCACCACGATTGTCCCCGTACTATTAGCTGTAGCATTCCTAACTTTAGTTGAACGAAAAATCTTAGGTTATATACAATTACGCAAAGGACCAAACGTCGTAGGCCCCTATGGCCTTCTTCAACCTATCGCAGATGCCGTAAAACTATTTATTAAAGAACCTTTACGACCGCTAACATCATCCATTACCATATTTATTATTGCCCCAATCTTAGCCCTAACCCTAGCCCTAACTATGTGAGCTCCCCTGCCTATACCACACCCACTAATCAACATAAATCTCAGCATTCTATTTATACTCGCTATATCAAGCTTAGCTGTCTACTCTATCCTCTGATCTGGCTGAGCTTCTAATTCTAAATATGCCCTAATTGGAGCCCTACGGGCTGTAGCCCAAACAATCTCTTACGAAGTAACCCTAGCAATTATTCTCCTATCTGTACTACTAATAAGTGGTTCATATTCCCTATCCACCTTAATTACAACTCAAGAATATATATGACTAATTTACCCCTCATGACCTCTCACAATAATATGATTCATCTCAACCCTAGCAGAAACTAACCGAGCCCCCTTTGACCTCACAGAAGGTGAATCAGAACTAGTTTCTGGCTTCAACGTAGAATATGCAGGAGGACCCTTCGCCCTGTTTTTTCTAGCGGAATACGCCAACATCATCATAATAAATGCCCTAACAACAACCCTATTCCTAGGAGCCTACCACAACCCAATCTTTCCCGAATTATATACAATTAACTTCGCAATCAAGACACTCTTACTTACAACAACATTTCTATGAATTCGCGCATCCTATCCACGCTTCCGATACGATCAATTAATACACATTTTATGAAAGAACTTTCTACCTCTAACACTAGCCCTCTGCATATGATACGTAACTATACCTATCATAACAGCTGGAATTCCACCACAAACATAAGAAATATGTCTGATAAAAGAGTTACTTTGATAGAGTAAATTATAGGGGCTAAATTCCCCTTATTTCTAGAACTCCAGGACTTGAACCTAGGCTTAAGAATTCAAAAATCTCCCGCGTACCAAACTACACTAAATCCTAGTAAGGTCAGCTAAATAAGCTATCGGGCCCATACCCCGAAAATGTTGGTTTATATCCTTCCCGTACTAATAAATCCAATTATCTTCTCAATAATCATAACAACAGTAATCCTAGGCACTACCATTGTAATAACAAGCTCTCATTGACTAATAGTATGAATTGGATTTGAAATAAATATACTAGCTATTATTCCCTTACTAATAAAAACCTCACCACCCTCCGCCTCCACAGAAGCAGCAACTAAATATTTCCTCACCCAAGCAACCGCATCCATACTCTTAATACTAGCAGTAATTATTAACCTATTATATTCAGGTCAATGAACTATTACAAACATAATAAACCCCACAGCATCAACCATCCTAACTCTAGCCATAACAATAAAATTAGGTCTCTCTCCATTCCATTTTTGAGTACCAGAAGTTACACAAGGAATCCCCCTATCATCAGGCCTAATTTTATTAACCTGACAAAAACTAGCCCCACTATCAGTCCTCTACATAATTTCCCCAAATATTAACTCAGATCTGCTACTAACTATATCTATCCTCTCTGTTTTAATTGGAGGCTGAGGAGGATTAAATCAAACCCAGTTAGCTAAAATTATAGCCTACTCATCCATTGCCCATATAGGATGAATATCTACTATCCTAATTTATAACCCAACCATAACTCTCCTTAATCTTACAATTTATATTATAATAACCCTTACTATATTTATGCTCCTTATTACTACTACAACAACTACAACCCTCTCCTTAGCACATACCTGAAATAAAACTCCACTAATTACTATTATCATTATAGCAGTCCTATTATCACTAGGAGGACTTCCACCCCTAGCAGGATTTATACCAAAATGAATAATCATCCAAGAACTTACAAAAAATGAAAGCATCATTTTACCCACCTTTATAGCTATTACAGCCCTATTAAACCTTTATTTCTATATACGTCTAATATATGCAACATCCCTTACAATATTTCCAACAGCTAACAATATCAAAATCAAATGACACTTTAACAATACAAAACGAATAATACTCCTCTCACCTTTAACTATCATATCAACAATAACCCTCCCACTAACCCCCCTCCTAACAATCTTATACTAGGAGCTTAGGTTAACCCAGACCAAGAGCCTTCAAAGCTCTAAGTAAATAATAGATATTTAGCTCCTGATTCCCTAAGGACTGCAAGACTCTATCCTACATCTGCTGAATGCAAATCAACTACTTTAATTAAGCTAAGCCCTTACTAGATTGATGGGCTTCAAACCCACGAAATTTTAGTTAACAGCTAAATACCCTAGACAACTGGCTTCAATCTACTTCTCCCGCCGCGAAGAAAAAAAAGGCGGGAGAAGCCCCGGCAGGATTGAAGCTGCTTCTTTGAATTTGCAATTCAATGTGTTATACACCACAGGGCCTGGTAATAAGAGGACTTAACCTCTGTACTTAGATTTACAGTCTAATACCTACTCGGCCATATTACCTATGTTCATTTCCCGTTGATTTTTCTCAACAAATCACAAAGATATTGGTACTCTATACCTATTATTTGGTGCTTGAGCAGGTATAGTAGGCACTGCACTAAGTCTCCTTATTCGTGCAGAACTTGGCCAACCTGGAGCCCTATTAGGTGATGATCAAATCTATAATGTAATCGTAACAGCTCATGCTTTCGTAATAATTTTCTTTATAGTAATGCCTATTATAATTGGGGGGTTCGGCAATTGACTAGTACCACTAATAATTGGCGCACCCGATATAGCATTCCCACGAATAAATAATATAAGCTTCTGGCTTCTCCCCCCTTCCTTCCTACTTTTACTTGCTTCCTCTACAGTTGAAGCTGGCGTCGGAACAGGTTGAACCGTATACCCACCACTAGCCGGAAATCTAGCACATGCCGGAGCTTCAGTTGACCTGGCTATTTTCTCTCTTCACCTAGCCGGAGTATCATCAATCCTCGGACGTATTAATTTTATCGCTACAATTATTAATATAAAACCACCTGCCCTCTCTCAATATCAAACACCTTTATTTGTTTGATCTGTTTTAATTACTGCTGTCCTACTACTCCTCTCCCTTCCTGTCTTAGCAGCAGGTATTACCATACTCCTAACAGACCGAAATCTTAATACCACATTCTTTGACCCAGCTGGAGGGGGAGACCCCATTTTATATCAGCACTTATTCTGGTTCTTCGGCCACCCCGAAGTATATATTCTTATTTTACCAGGCTTTGGCATCATCTCCCATGTAGTAACCTACTATTCCGGTAAAAAAGAACCTTTCGGATATATAGGAATAGTTTGAGCTATAATATCCATTGGATTCCTAGGCTTTATTGTATGAGCCCACCATATATTTACAGTAGGTATAGATGTAGACACACGAGCATACTTTACATCTGCCACTATAATCATTGCTATTCCTACGGGAGTTAAGGTCTTTAGTTGATTAGCCACTCTCCATGGAGGAAACATTAAATGATCACCAGCCATACTTTGAGCCCTTGGCTTTATTTTTCTATTTACAGTAGGTGGACTAACAGGTATTGTCCTAGCTAACTCATCACTAGATATTATTTTACACGACACTTACTATGTAGTAGCTCACTTTCACTATGTCTTATCTATAGGAGCTGTTTTCGCTATTATAGGAGGATTTGTACACTGATTCCCTCTATTCACAGGATATACTTTAAATACAACTTGAGCAAAAATTCATTTTCTAGTTATATTTGTAGGTGTCAACATAACTTTCTTCCCTCAACACTTTCTAGGTTTATCTGGAATACCACGACGCTACTCTGACTATCCAGATGCCTATACTACTTGAAATACAGTATCTTCTATAGGTTCTTTCATCTCACTAACAGCAGTAATACTGATAGTCTTTATAATCTGAGAAGCTTTCGCAGCTAAACGAGAAGTTTCAGTAGCAGAACTAACTACAACTAACCTAGAATGACTGCATGGATGTCCTCCTCCCTACCATACATTTGAAGAACCCACATATGTTAATCCAAAATAAGAAAGGAAGGAATCGAACCCCCTAAAATTGGTTTCAAGCCAACATCATAACCATTATGTCTTTCTCTATAAAGAGATATTAGTAAAATTTACATAATCTTGTCAAGGTTAAATTATGGGTGAAACCCCATATATCTCTATGGCATACCCATTCCAACTAGGACTTCAAGATGCAACCTCACCAATCATAGAAGAGCTATTACACTTTCATGACCACACTCTAATAATTGTATTTATAATTAGCTCTCTAGTATTATATATTATTTCTTCTATATTAACAACTCACCTAACCCACACAAGCACAATAGACGCCCAAGAAGTAGAGACTATCTGAACTATCCTTCCAGCTATTATTCTAATTACAATTGCCCTTCCATCCCTTCGCATCTTATATATAATAGATGAAATTAACAACCCTTTAATAACAGTAAAGACAATAGGCCACCAATGATACTGAAGCTATGAGTATACTGATTATGCAGACTTATGCTTTGATTCCTACATAATTCCCACATCGGATCTAAAAGCAGGGGATCTTCGCCTACTAGAAGTAGATAATCGAGTAGTACTTCCTATAGAGACGACTATTCGCATACTTATTTCCTCTGAAGATGTACTCCACTCATGAGCTGTTCCATCACTAGGCCTAAAAACAGATGCTATCCCCGGCCGACTTAACCAGACAACTCTCCTATCAACCCGTCCCGGCCTCTACTATGGTCAATGCTCTGAAATTTGTGGCTCAAATCATAGTTTCATGCCTATTGTTCTAGAGATAGTTTCTCTAAAATACTTTGAAAAATGATCAACATCTATATTATAAGACCATTAAGAAGCTATCTTAGCGCTAACCTTTTAAGTTAGAGATTGGGAATATAAGCTTCCCCTTAATGATATGCCTCAACTAGATACATCAACTTGATTTATCACAATTTTAGCCACAATTTTAACTTTATTTATTATTATGCAACTAAAAATTTCCACCTATTATTACCACTCTAATCCAGAACCAAAAACAACTAAAATAACTAAATCTTTAATTCCTTGAGAAATTAAATGAACGAAAATTTATTCGCCTCTTTCATTACCCCTACGATAATAGGTCTCCCTATTGTTATCCTAATTATTATATTTCCCACTATCATATTTCCATCAACTAATCGATTAGTTAATAATCGGTTAGTGGCAATCCAACAATGATTAGTTTACTTAACCTCTAAACAAATACTCTCTATCCATAATCGTAAAGGCCAAACATGAGCCCTAATACTAATATCTCTCATTTTATTTATCGGCTGCACAAATCTGCTAGGCCTACTACCACACTCTTTTACTCCAACAACACAACTATCAATAAACCTAGGTATAGCTATCCCCTTATGAGCTGGAACAGTAATTCTAGGATTTCGACATAAAACCAAAGCCTCCCTAGCACACTTTCTCCCACAAGGAACTCCCTTACCACTAATTCCAATATTAATTATTATCGAAACTATTAGCTTATTTATTCAACCTATAGCATTAGCCGTACGACTTACCGCTAATATCACTGCTGGCCACTTACTAATTCATCTAATTGGCGGTGCTACCCTAGCTCTTATAAATATCAGTACAGCCACCGCCCTTATTACATTCATAATTCTAGTCCTACTAACTATCCTAGAATTTGCTGTAGCTCTAATCCAAGCTTATGTCTTTACCTTATTAGTTAGTCTATACCTACATGATAATGCTTAATGACCCACCAAACACACGCATACCATATAGTCAACCCAAGTCCCTGACCACTTACAGGAGCTCTTTCCGCTTTACTATTAACTTCAGGGTTAGTAATATGATTCCACTTCAACTCTATAACCCTATTAACCTTAGGATTATTAGCCAACACCTTAACTATATATCAATGATGACGTGACATTATTCGAGAAGGCACTTTCCAAGGCCACCACACTCCAGTTGTCCAAAAAGGTCTTCGCTATGGCATAATCCTCTTCATTATTTCAGAAGTATTCTTCTTCTCCGGATTTTTCTGAGCTTTTTACCACTCAAGCCTAGCTCCAACCCCCGAATTAGGAGGATATTGACCTCCAGCAGGCATTACTCCCTTAAACCCATTAGATGTTCCCCTTTTAAATACATCTGTTCTGTTAGCCTCAGGAGTATCCATTACTTGAGCTCATCATAGCCTTATGGAAGGAAACCGCAAACATATACTCCAATCCCTATTTATTACAATTTGTTTAGGCTTGTATTTTACTCTTTTACAAGCATCAGAATACTATGAAACTTCCTTCACAATCTCCGATGGAGTCTACGGCTCCACATTCTTTATAGCTACTGGATTTCACGGTCTCCATGTCATTATTGGCTCAACTTTCTTAATCGTATGCCTCCTCCGACAATTAAAATTCCACTTTACATCTAATCATCACTTTGGGTTTGAAGCCGCCGCTTGATACTGACATTTCGTAGATGTAGTATGACTTTTCCTATATGTATCCATCTATTGATGAGGATCCTATTCTTTTAGTATTAATAAGTACAACTGACTTCCAATCAGTTAGTTCCGATAAAATTCGGAAAAGAATAATAAACATAGCCATTACACTATTAACAAATACATTTCTAGCAAGCCTCCTCGTAATAATTGCATTTTGATTACCCCAAACAAATTCCTATACAGAAAAAGTAAGTCCCTATGAATGTGGATTTGATCCCTTAGGATCCGCTCGCCTCCCCTTTTCAATAAAATTCTTCCTAGTAGCCATTACATTTCTTTTATTTGACCTAGAAATTGCACTTCTCCTCCCACTTCCCTGAGCATCACAAACTAACAATTTACAAAATATACTCCCAATATCTCTAATACTAATCTCTCTTTTAGCCCTCAGTCTAGCTTATGAGTGATTACAAGAAGGCCTAGAATGGTCTGAATAATGATAATTAGTTTAAACAAAATAAGTGATTTCGACTCACTAGATTATGATAAAACTCATAATTATCTTATGTCCCTTACCTATATAAATATATTTATAGCATTTACTATTTCTTTATTAGGCCTACTAATATATCGATCCCATATAATATCATCCCTCCTCTGTTTAGAAGGTATAATACTATCTCTATTTGTAATAATAACTATTACTATTTTAAATACACATTTAACCCTAGCAAGTATATTACCCATCATTCTCTTAGTATTTGCAGCATGTGAAGCCGCTTTAGGTCTATCTCTTCTAGTAATAGTATCAACTACCTACGGAATAGATTACGTACAAAACCTTAACCTTCTACAATGCTAAAAATTATTATCCCTACTATTATACTTATACCCCTTACATGATTATCTAATCCCAAAATAATCTGAATTAATTCTACAGCACACAGCCTAATCATTAGTCTCTTATGAATCCCTCTTGCTAATCAATTCACTGATAACACTCTAAATTTATCTGTTATATTTTTCTCCGATGCATTATCCACCCCCTTACTCATACTAACACTATGACTTTTACCCTTAATAATTATTGCTAGCCAATCACATCTGGCCAACGAGCACCCTACTCGAAAAAAGTCTTATATTACTATACTTATTTTACTCCAAATTTTCCTAATTATAACATTCACAGCCACAGAACTCATCATATTTTACATTCTATTCGAAGCTACACTAATTCCAACATTAGTTATTATTACTCGATGAGGTAACCAAGCAGAACGCCTAAACGCAGGACTATATTTTCTATTTTATACTCTAGTAGGCTCCCTTCCATTACTTATTGCACTTACCCATATCCAAAATCTAACTGGAACTCTAAACTTTTTACTAATTCAATATTGAACCACACTACTTCCCACTTCCTGAAATACAACTCTTTTATGATTAGCATGCATGATAGCCTTTATAGTAAAAATACCCCTGTATGGACTACACCTATGATTACCAAAAGCCCATGTAGAAGCTCCTATTGCAGGCTCAATAGTCCTCGCAGCAGTGCTACTAAAACTAGGTGGCTATGGTATATTACGCATTACAGTCCTACTAGACCCCCTTACTGACTTTATAGCATATCCCTTTATAATACTCTCTCTATGAGGTATAATTATAACTAGCTCAATCTGTTTACGTCAAACAGACCTTAAATCTCTCATCGCCTACTCCTCAGTAAGCCATATGGCCTTAGTTATCGCCGCTATCCTAATTCAAACTCCCTGAAGCTTCATAGGAGCTACAGCACTAATAATCGCACATGGCCTAACTTCTTCAATATTATTTTGTTTAGCCAATTCAAACTATGAACGAGTACATAGTCGAACAATAATCCTAGCCCGAGGATTACAAATATTACTTCCCCTTATAGCAGCCTGATGACTACTAGCAAGCCTCACTAATTTAGCTCTTCCACCAACTATTAACCTAATCGGAGAACTATTTATCGTTATATCAATATTCTCATGATCCAACCTATCCATTACCCTCCTAGGCCTAAATATTATCCTCACAGCCCTATATTCTCTATATATACTAATTATAACCCAGCGAGGTAAACACACCCAACATATTAACAATATCTCCCCATCCTATACACGAGAAAATACTCTCATAACTATACATATCCTTCCCCTCCTATTACTATCCATTAGCCCTAAGATTATTCTCGGCACTCCCTACTGTAAGCATAGTTTAAACAAAACATTAGATTGTGAATCTAAAAACAGAAACTTAATCTTTCTTGCTTACCGAAAAAGTATGCAAGAACTGCTAACTCATGCCTCCGTGCCTAACAGCACGGCTTTTTCACACTTTTAAAGGATAGTAGTTATCCATTGGTCTTAGGAACCAAAAAATTGGTGCAACTCCAAATAAAAGTAATAAACCTAGTCTCATCTATGATACTCTTATCATTAATAATCCTAAGTATACCTATCATAACAACCATGTTATATCCCCAAAATCACCCTAACTTTCCCCACTACGTAAAAACCATAGTCTCATATTCATTCTTTATTAGCATTATCCCAATAATAGTATTTATCTACTCAAATCAAGAAATAATAATCTCCAACTGACATTGAATCACAATCCAGACCCTAAAATTATCTCTTAGTTTCAAACTAGATTTCTTCTCAATCCTATTTATACCAGTAGCCCTATTTGTAACCTGATCAATTCTAGAGTTTTCAATATGATATATACACTCAGATCCTAATATCAATCGATTCTTTAAATACCTATTAATATTTCTGATTACAATGTTAATTCTAGTAACTGCTAATAACCTCTTCCAGCTTTTTATTGGCTGAGAAGGAGTAGGGATTATGTCATTTCTCCTAATTGGGTGATGATTCGGACGACGTGACGCTAATACAGCAGCCCTCCAAGCAATTCTCTATAATCGTATTGGAGACATTGGATTCATCTTATCTATAGCATGATTCTTGACCTACCTAAATACCTGAGAATTACAACAAATCTTTTCGCTAAACACTACTCCAAACTCCCTCCCCCTTATAGGTCTCCTTCTAGCCGCCACAGGAAAATCTGCTCAATTCGGCCTCCACCCATGACTTCCCTCTGCCATAGAAGGCCCCACTCCAGTCTCAGCTCTACTCCACTCAAGTACAATAGTTGTAGCAGGCATCTTTCTTCTAATCCGATTCTACCCTTTAATAGAAAATAATACCATAATTCAAACAACTGCCCTATGCCTAGGGGCTATTACAACCCTATTTACAGCTATATGCGCTCTCACCCAAAATGATATCAAAAAAATTATTGCTTTCTCCACTTCAAGTCAGCTTGGACTAATAATAGTCACCATTGGAATTAATCAACCACATTTAGCATTCCTACATATTTGTACTCACGCCTTTTTTAAAGCAATATTATTTATATGTTCCGGCTCAATCATTCATAGCCTCGGGGATGAACAAGATATCCGAAAAATAGGAGGTCTATACAAAACAATACCTTTTACCTCAACAGCCATAACAGTAGGAAGCTTAGCATTAACAGGCACTCCATTCTTAACAGGCTTTTACTCTAAAGATCTAATCATTGAAGCCATTAATACCTCCTACACCAACGCCTGAGCCCTTCTTATAACCCTAATCGCTACCACCCTTACCGCAGTTTACAGTACTCGAATCATTTTCTTTGCCCTACTAGGACAACCTCGACTCCCCTCCCTAATTTTAATTAATGAAAATAACCCCCTTCTCCTTAATGCTATTAAACGTCTCCTTATCGGAAGCATCTTCGCCGGCTTTCTAATCTCCAAAAATATTCCTCCAATAACAATTCTCCCAATAACCATACCCCCTTACCTAAAACTCACAGCCCTATTTGTAACTCTAACTGGATTTATTCTAGCACTAGAACTTAACCTGGCTGCACTCAACCTAAAATTCAAAACCCCTTCCAATATATTTAAATTCTCTAACCTTTTAGGATATTTCCCCACCATTATACACCGCCTTCCACCACTAACGAGCCTAACAATAAGTCAAAAGTCAGCCTCCTTACTACTCGACCTTACATGACTAGAAATTTTTCTCCCTAAAACAATCTCTCTTATTCAACTAAAAACTTCTACTCTAGTATCCAATCAAAAAGGACTAATCAAGCTTTATTTCCTCTCATTTCTTATTACCCTCTTACTAGCCCTATCCTTATTTACCCACCACGTGTAATCTCTATAACAACCATAACAGCAACCAACAAAGATCAACCAGTAACAATTACCAATCAACCACCATAACTATATAAACCTGCAACCCCAACAACCTCCTTACTAACAAACCCTAAATCACTTTCACCAGAAATAACTCAATCCCCTAGTCCATTAAACTTAAAGATAGCTTCCAACTCCTCACCCTTTAATGCAACCAACACCAAAATAAACTCTATTACTACTCCTACAATAAATGACCCCATCACCGTCTTATTAGAAACTCATACCTCAGGATAAGGCTCTGTAGCCATAGCAGTAGTATAACCAAATACCACTAACATACCCCCTAAATAAATTAAAAACACTATCAATCCTAAAAATGACCCATTAAAACTTATAACAATACTACACCCTGTACCCCCACTCACAATTAAACCCAATCCCCCATAAATAGGAGATGGCTTTGAAGAAAATCCTACAAAACTCAACACAAAAATAGTACTCAAAACAAATACAATATATGTTATCATTATTCTCACATGGATTTATCCACGACTAATGACATGAAAAATCACCGTTGTATTTCAACTATAAGAACACTAATGACCAACATTCGAAAAACTCACCCCTTATTAAAAATTATCAATAGCTCATTCGTAGACCTTCCTGCTCCCTCAAGCCTTTCATCATGATGAAACTTTGGTTCTCTTTTAGGAGTTTGTTTGGGCGTACAAATTCTAACAGGACTATTCCTAGCTATACATTATACATCCGACACAGCTACCGCATTCAACTCTGTCACCCATATCTGTCGAGACGTCAACTATGGATGATTACTTCGATACCTCCATGCCAACGGAGCCTCTATATTTTTTATCTGCCTCTACCTCCACGTAGGCCGAGGCCTATATTATGGATCCTATACATATTCAGAAACATGAAACATTGGCATTCTCCTCCTCTTTGCTGTCATAGCAACAGCATTTATAGGCTATGTCCTACCATGAGGACAAATATCATTCTGAGGAGCTACAGTCATCACCAATCTCCTCTCTGCCATCCCCTATATCGGAACAGATTTAGTACAATGAATCTGAGGTGGCTTTTCCGTAGACAAAGCAACTCTCACCCGATTCTTCGCCTTCCATTTTCTACTTCCCTTCATTGTAACAGCTCTAGTAATAGTCCACCTTTTATTTCTACACGAAACAGGATCTAACAACCCCACAGGCATTCCATCAGACCCAGACATAATTCCATTCCACCCCTACTATACTATTAAAGATATTCTAGGATTTTTAGTTATACTTACAGCCCTAGCTACTCTAGTCTTATTTTCACCAGACCTCCTAGGAGACCCAGACAATTATATTCCAGCAAATCCACTTAATACCCCTCCCCATATTAAGCCAGAATGATACTTCCTTTTTGCTTATGCTATTTTACGCTCTATTCCAAACAAACTAGGAGGAGTCCTAGCTCTAGTAATATCTATCCTAATCCTAGCCATCGTACCAATTCTTCACATATCTAAACAACGAAGTATAATATTTCGCCCTCTCAGCCAATGCTTATTCTGACTTCTTGTAGCAGTCCTTTTTACATTAACATGAATTGGAGGACAACCAGTAGAGCACCCCTATATTATTATCGGCCAAACAGCATCCGTCCTATATTTCTTAATTATCCTATTCCTTATACCAATAATTAGCCTAGTAGAAAACTATCTTCTAAAATGAAGAGTCTATGTAGTATATCCATTACACCGGTCTTGTAAACCGGCAAAGGGAATAATCTTCCCCACAGACTCAAGGAGAAGGCATACAAGCCCCACCCTCAACACCCAAAGCTGAGATTCTAATAAACTACTCCTTGAATGCACGCCTATGTAATTCGTGCATATATTTATATTCCACTAATTAATTATGTACATATATGTATTATAGTACATTAATATAATGTCCTCATGAATATTAAGCAAGTAAATTAAGTTAATGTATTAATGACATAATATTATTTACGTACATAACTGTTATCAGTACATGTATATGTATAAGTATTAAGTATGATTAATCAACTATAAGTACATTAATTTAATGATCGTACATACACCATCCTATTACGTTTAATCCTTGACCATATGACTATCCCCTACCAATTGGTGTCCCTTGATCTACCTACCTCCGTGAAACCAGCAACCCGCCCAATCAGTGTCCCTCTTCTTGTCCCAGGCCCATTTAACTTGGGGGTTTCTAACTTGGGTCGTAAACGGCATCTGGTTCTTGCTTCAGGGCCATGACCACTTAGAATCGCCCACTCGTTCCCCTTAAATAAGACATCACGATGGATTAATGACTAATCAGCCCATGCCGCGGCATAACTGTGGTGTCATGCCTTTAGTAGGATTTTTTTTGGGGGTATGCTCGGACTCAGCTGGGCTGGTAAGCGGGGTCAGGAGCATTTCCGTCCTGGCGCGCCTCTTAATGTACCTTCTCCACCCGCATAATGAGGAAGCAGGTCATGAACTTAATGACTTGAAGACATCAAACTGGGTCAGTTCATAATTTTATTCCTCATGAATATAGACCATACGGGGCTATAGGATCATGGTTTCAGGACATACACACACACACACACCCACAGGTGCACACCCACAGGTGCACACCCACAGGTGCACACCCACAGGTGCACACCCACAGGTGCACACCCACAGGTGCACACCCACAGGCGCACACCCACAGGCGCACACCCACAGGTGCACACCCACAGGCGCACACCCACAGGCGCACACCCACACCCACACCCACGCAAGTAACAGGAACATAATCTTTTAAGTCAACAAAGCCCCCCTTACCCCCCGTTGAAGTCTACTACATAATGTGCTAATTAACCTTGCCAAACCCCAAAGACAAGGAAAACACAAAATGTCTTATAACTCCAACCTAAAATAGATAAAATAATATCTAATCAAGTAAATACCCCACTAATTGACCCATATTAATTGAGGGGGCCACTTTAAGGAATTTATTTTCCTTAGACAAGTACCCCTCTAGATTCGTCAAAATATCAGCAAATTTTATATCGCATAGGGTCTATTAACAAAT